TCCCCTTGCTGAGTAATTAGTAGAGGAGACTTATTTATGCTATTTAATAACTATGATCATAGTTATAAAGTCTGATGATCTTTTAGTTGGTTTGTTGGCGGATAGAGGGAGTTAAACCAAAAGAGACGTGATAATAATCTTATAGTCACACCCAGAAATAATTAAAAATAGGTATAATTCACGTTGTTAGGTTCAAACAGTGTATAAAAAACAAAACGTGTTATATGAAAATACACGAGATAAAAGTTTTATATATTAACATAAATCCAGTATAAACCGTTGCATTCAAACCAAAAATTGAAATATTTACAGCCTTCTCTAGGTATGATACAAGATAACAAATCGTTAACGGTTTTTATTTCCAGGTACAGACTACATTACGCAATGCGTATTACCGCTCAGCTCTGAGGAGAAATCCAGCTAAAACTTCCACAAGGTGTCGCGGTATGTCGCATACAGTAGATAGCTCCATCCAGTTTTCGCGTAACGATCGTCCAGTATCCGAAACGTCCCAGATGGCGTCTTTCAAAAGGGTCGTTTTGCCGTTGCAAGACCTGCTGGGAAACGCTGTTGCGAAAGAAGAACGAAGGGAACAGTTCTATCATTTTTGAAGAAACGTGGCCAAGACGTCCCGTAAAAAAATTCCCTATTCTTCATTCGATACACCTGAGAAGCAAATGGTCGTTATCGAGCACCATAATAATCAAACTGTGTGTTTTATGACGTTTCATGTTTGTGACACGTGGTCTCATGTTCGTGTGTTAAATTAAAATTAAGCTGTACTATTAACCCTTGATTTTTGTTTCTGTACTCCGAATAACTCGCGACACTGACGAAGTAGACAGAACTTAATTTGAGTTTGTTTTTCTGTTTTAATATAAGTTTATTTGAACAAGAAGGTTCTCACATCAACAAACTTTCAAGTGAAACTTTGGATTGTTTAAACTAAGAATTTATCTTGAATTACCTGTAATTTTTTTTTTAAATTAACACCTTTGATATTGTCTAAGTTTCTTAATTTGGTTTTTTTTTCTGTGTAAATAAAACATATCTTAAAAAAGACTTTATAAACGAGTGTTAGGAATAAAGATTAAAGTCAAGTTTGTTTTTAACGAGATTCATTTCCTGTATATTTTTGCATCACCTGTCAATACAGAAAGTTAAAAAAAAAAAAGAACACGTGACCTTCTTCTGTGAACAGCCGGTTGTAAGACCTGGTAACGACATCTTGAATCAAACCTGGTACTGACACCTGGCTTATCGGAAATCTCAGAATATAGAAAGATATCCCGATTTTAATTTCCGTCACCCCACTTCTCGTAAAGGTGTTGTTGGAAAGATCTTAAAATCTTTGTTGAAATGAATGAGATTGTGTTAAAGAAAACAAACGCATCATAAAAGTATTGAAAGGTGCCACAAACATTTTGTTTAACAAGGCGAAATCATGAGCAAAAAATATTATATTTCAAAACCTACTTCAATCATAGTGATCCTTTATATTAAAATATTAACTGAACAGGTTAAAAAAAATCACTTAAATAAAATGAGTTTTAGAACGGTTTATCAACCCACCGTAACTTTAAGTCATATTTTAGTCCGCCCCCAAAGGAACCCTATTGGCTTCGTTTGT